ATAATCAACATTCTTTATCAGCGAGACAAACAAATATGGACCCTGAATCTAACTAGAGCTGTCGTCCATAGAAAAGAATGTGCACCAGGGAACCTACAGTACAGTACGTTCCAGATAAAAGAAGGGCTTCTAGATGTCCCTGAACAATAAACTATCTCATGTCAGCTTGTGCTCGGTCATAAGCTGGCAACAACAATGCGCCCAAGCTGCCCCTCCTTAAGAGAGATAGCAGCAATACCCAAGGCCGTAGACCTATGCCATGGGAAAGAGACTATGAGAAGAGAAAATGATGAACTGTGTCAAAGGTTAGATACCTAAGCAAATTATTCCCCAACAGCTAGTAGTTCTGAGCTTTATACCTGAGCTATAACTCTGCAATGACAGTATTTTATTTTATGTGTTTTTTTCCACAACTGCCAATTGATATGAACAGCAGCTGGCATGAAGCAGTGCAGCTTGAAATGTCAGCTTTCAGAAAGCTTTCATTTCACTTCAGCTACAAATAAGAAGGCAGTGTACTGTACAATTATTTTACTTAGCGTTTGGAGTCGTAATAATCTTATGTGTTTTGTCTGGCAGTGTGGGCTTATCTCACCAAAATGGCATCTTCCGAATCCGCTATCCAACAAAAATTCAGGATTAGGAATACTTAAACAATAACACAGCTAAAAACATTGTCCCTGTATGAACCAGACAGGGGCCAATCTTCCCCCACCATCTTGCTCTGGTCTGGTTCCTGAGATCGGCTCCAGCCACAGTTCAAGTTCTCCTGCCAAAAAGTGCCACCTGAGAGAGGGGTTATCCTGTTTGCTTCCCAGTGCCAGATATCAGCAGAGCAGATAAGAGCTATCAATGTTGAATTACACCCAACTGGAAAACAAGACACGATTCTCAACCACAGAGCGAGGAGAAGAGCAGCAGAGAGGATGTGAGATAAACCTCCTGAAAATCCAGGCTGGAACCGCGCAGCAGCTATATTAGATGTTTCTCAGCCATGCAGAATACATCCCGTTAGAGTGGAAGCAGGCATGAAGCCCCGGTCAGCCACTGGGCTGGAAGTGATATTGAAGCTACTATTAAAGCCTCGCTTTGGGATTTTCCCTGACATGGATACTAAAATGTTTTAAACCCATGACCCAAATTCTTCAATTTGCGACCCGGAAAGTTTTCGGCCCTGCAGTGGCACTCACATTCAATGAATCAAGCTGCTGCTTCTTTGAGTACTACTCATCCCTGTTTAAATATAAAGACATGTGGTGGGAATTGTTGACAAAAACATCAGTAGCATTGATAACAATTTATTTCAGGAAGGTCTTCAGTACAACCTTATCTCAACAGACTTGAATGCCATACTTTAGCTCAAGGTTTTACTAGATGAGGTGACTGATTGTACCATAAAAAAATTTATTCCTCTAATAAATGAGGACTTTTCAACACTTGCTGTTATCCAGAACAGGGCCTGTTTGAACCGCTTGTCCCCGATGGGCAGGTCTTTAGCAGCCATGTGCATTGAAAACGGTTTGATGACATACAAAAACACATAAGCATGACAACATAAGGATGGAAAAACATAGGTTTGGAACTAAATTAAGTAAGAGGTATTTAATCCAGAATCTTATCATTAAAAAAAAAGCTCCAAAATAAAAATGAGATGTAATGCCGACACACAGAATTTAGTTCAACACATTTTTTTAATCTTTTACATCAGATGTTGTATTAACTACTTCCAATCCGCGCATGTTCTGGTGCAGAATAGTTCAAGCTTAACTGAAGAGTTATTCAACATGGTCCCATGTTTAACAGGGTTTTGTGTCAGTCAATTCTGTCACATTTACATGAAATCTAACAAAACGGTTATTCCTCTGAATAACAACAGTGACGGTCAATGCCTGCTTGATATAAAGAGCCAGCTACCTAAAACTAATGTTTTCTTAACTGCTGTTTGATAATAAAAATGATGGGATGTACTAGAGATGTAACTAAGGGTTTCCCACATCAATTCAAATGCACTATGACCCTCGTGCTCAAACTGACTTCCCCTCAGTGGCGTCTGAGAGGAGAATCGTGGAGCAATGATACACATTACTTTCCTGTTAAAAAAATATTAGGAAACCAATGAAAGAAACATGATCTGATCTGAGCTGTTTACCTCATAAACACTTCCTGAACCAGCAGCAGTGAATCAGTTTCACACTTTTGAATACATGTATCACACAACACAAACTACTGGAAATACTCAGTTGGGTTAGTTGAGGGATGGTGAGTGGCTATACGGGAACTACATAACACTAAGCTTCATCATTTGGTCTTAATCACCCAAGTCTCTAGGCGTTCTTTGAGTTTGACTGACTATGATGTTTGTGCAGATATACTCAAGGCTGGGATCATGAGACTGAAGGCTATAGCATAACACATTTTTATATTCACCAAACTATTTAATGACTCTTTCTGACCCATATACATATTTGTATCCATATATTCAGGTTTGAGCTTGTAATTTGTTTTACGGCATGTTGCGCATTAAGTTTAGTCTCCCGCGTGTTCGTCGCTGCAATTTTCAATCTGAGCTCTATGGGAGTCCCTTCCTAACCCCTTCATAAATGATATGCAGGCTGGGGGGGGGGGCGATTTAAGGCAGCCTTGGCTCCCCTGACAGCCCGCTTGTTACAGTTGTCAGCCCACTGAAGTAGTTTGACACCTGTAATCTCCGTTGCTACGGTTTTCAGCCAATTTCCGTTGGCAGGGCTCATACGGCCCAGCCAAGCAAGAAGGGAAAAAGTGACAATTGACTTGACCGGTGAGTTGTAGAAAAGTGGTATCATCAACTTAATACACACCCTGAAGGAGTTTCACCTCCTCCAGAAAAACACATCCATCAGCTAAAGACAAGTTAATTGTGGCTTTAAAGCCAAAGCATCTGCCTACAGTGAAACACTTGAAATAAAGACATTTTTACCAGATCTTTACAGTGCATTCACATTATGATTTAAAAAAAAAAAGAATATATATGAAAAGGAAAAAGCACAAGTTTTTTCCTGCTTGTGGCTGGATACAGGATAGTGCCTTTACTTTAGACTCTGCAGTGTCTACAGTGTGCATTGTTTGTTGAGGTGCTATCCAGGCAGTGAAGTGCACTTAATGCTGTTAAGTTAAATCCAATGGAGCGTCTCCTGCTGTGAGTTGAATGTCAAACACACCGGAGGAGGAGCTCCAACTTTATTTGGCCAGGCAATTACAAGTAAATGTTCATGCTTGAGTCTAAGCATATTTTCTCTCTTTCTGTGTGTGTGTGTGTGTGTGTGTGTGTGTGTGTGTGTGTGTGTGTGTGTGTGTGTGTGTGTGTGTGTGTGTGTGTGTGTGTGTGTGTGTGTGTGTGTGTGTGTGTGTGTGTGTGTGTGTGGCATTAATAAGCGCCGTAATGAAAGGGGACAGTTTTCTGTTGCCGTGGTTATGAAGCAGCAGAGCGTTGCCATGCACGACGACAAAGATAGAAAATAACTGTGTAAGGGCATCGTCTTGGAAACACAATCAGCAGACAGGGACGTGTTTGGACGGAGACAGATGGATGGATAGATAGACAGATTGAAAACACAGAGAGGTACATGATGCAAAAGACAGATACGAGAGACAAGAGGACAGAAGCCATGCAGAACACCTTTGTATGTCAAAACAGAGGTCTGTGTAAGTGTTGGAGAGACAACAGAGAGACTGATGGATGGTGTTGTCTGTACAGCCAGAGGTGTACAAGGAGAAAGAGGTGTGTGTGTGTGTGTGTGTGTGTGTGTGTGTGTGTGTGTGTGTGTGTGTGTGTGTGTGTGTGTGTGTGTGTGTGTGTGTGTGTGTGTGTGTGTGTGTGTGTGATCGATTTGACTGGGCCCCTGTCCCCCGAAGAGAGAGAGAGATTCAGATGGATGGATACAAAAAGAGATGCAGCAGAGGAAGAGTCGCCCTGACAGACAGATAGATCAAGAGAGAGGAATGCTGGGAGCCGACCGACGGATAGAGTGAGACGATAAGGAGTGATATGAAAGACAGCTAGATTAATTTAGAGGTACATGGCGAAATAATTTGAGTGAGGAGAGGTCAGGCTTAGTCGATGAGAGATGTTGAGCTGCTGGGTTTAATGTTAAGGAGAAGAGAAGGAGACATGGATGATTTCTTATGACCTTGAAGCAGAGTGGTTTAAACGTAATTATAAGTGAGTCTCTGTATAAGCCAGAGACAATTCAGCGAGTCAGTTCTCATTCATAACACGCCGTTCGATGTCTCACTATGGGATGCGCCTCATCGCGGAGCAAACAGAAGCATCAATCTCATTACGCCAATCCGGATTGGCTGGTGATCTTGACGTAAGCGTCAGGGAATCCACCCACCCTATAAGTAGCTTGCGCCACGTCGCAGTGTCATTCAAACACCTCTTCTCGCTTCAGAGCACATCTCGACATATCAGTAGCCGG